TGGAAACATCACATGCCTTCCTATACCGAGAAGCTCCAAGCCATGATTGATCTGGTCCAATCCATAATCCAGACTCACTGGCCCACCTGGGTAGACTGTAGGCAACACCATATCAGCCAGTTGGCACTAAAATGGCTCCAAGACTATGCCCCATCTGGGACACTGAATGGCCAAGTGTATGCCCAGATCCATTTCCCTGATGAGGATCCACAATGGGACCCCAACACAGATCAGGGCCTGCAGATGCTGTAACAGTACCAAGAGGCTCTCCTGGGAGGCTTAAAGGCAGGAGGAAAAAAGCTAACCAACTTGAGTAAGATCTCTGAAGTCCTCCAGAAGCCAGATGAAAGCCCCAGTCAGTTCTATGAAAGTCTCTGCGAGGCATTCCACCTCTACATGCCCTTTGATCCTGAACAACTTGAAAACTAGATGATGGTCAATGCCACTTTTGTGGGACAAGCACAGGGGTACATTTGCCCCAAGCTGCAAAAGCTAGAAGGGTTTGCTGGCATGAATATTACCCAACTCCTAGTAATTGCAACCAAGGTGTTTATCAACTAGTACCTGGAGGTAGCTTCAGGTACCTTTCTTTACCTGAAGAAAAAGGCAGACCTCCTAGCTGCCACACTGGTTGAAAGGTCGGGATCTCTGAAAGGGCCCCCTAGGCTGAGGCCAAAAGTTGACCAGAGGACAACCACAAAGTGCACCCGGATCCAAACCACCCTAAGACCCAACGAATATGCCTTCTGTCATAAAGATGGTCATTGGAAAAAGAAATGTCTCCAACTCCTGGACACCACTAAGGGCAAATTCCAGCCCCTGTGAAAGGGACAAGCCCCCTGAGGAGAACACAAAGCAGGAAAACTGGCTACCAAGGCACCCCAGCAAGATTTCAACAGCTTGGCTGAACTCGAACCATATGAAAGTGACTAGGACCAACGGGGCTCCCTTTCCTTAGGCCCCCAAAAGCCCTTGGTCTAAATGATGGTAGGGGGCCACTGCATCTTGCCAGACCATCTGCTCGTGATGTACTCATTGGATCCAACAACGGACCAGCATTTGTGCTGAAATTCTGATGGAGGTTGGTCATGTGACCTTGCAACAACTCCTAGCCTTAGGAAAAACCCTGTGGACCATTCACCGGTGAGTTGGAGAATAACTCCCAGTTAGTCTTAACCCATCTGTATACCTCTGTATACCTGTACAAACCAGGTACCTCTGTTTGGGTAAAAGAATGGAATGCACAGCCCCTCAGACCCCTGTAGAGGGGAACTTTCCTTTTACTGTCTTGTTATCTATCTCTACTGCAGTCAAAGTAGCTGAGGTCACTCCATAGATACATCACAGCAGACTCAAGCCAGTCACAACTGCCTGGGACTGCATTCCTCACCCCACTTCACCCAGCAAGCTGACTAGACTCCAGATGACATCAGCCCTGCTCTAGTCACTCTGAGGGCTGACTAGTCTACACATGGCAGAAGCCTGAGGATCTCCAGTAAAAAACTGTGCCAGATGACAGAGGTACCTCTGTTTGGGTAAAAGAATGGAATGCACAGCCCCTCAGACCCCTGTAGAGGGGAACTTTCCTTTTACTGTCTTGTTATCTATCTCTACTGCAGTCAAAGTAGCTGAGGTCACTCCATAGATACATCACAGCAGACTCAAGCCAGTCACAACTGCCTGGGACTGCATTCCTCACCCCACTTCACCCAGCAAGCTGACTAGACTCCAGATGACATCAGCCCTGCTCTAGTCACTCTGAGGGCTCACTAGTCTACACATGGCAGAAGCCTGAGGATCTCCAGTAAAAAACTGTGCCCCTGCAGAAATTGCTGTACTTTGCTTTTTGGGACTGGTGACTCTTTTCTTTGTTTTGCTTTTTTATTGTGCATATCACATTATCTCTTTCCCCAGTTAACAGGTTATAATAATGATTCTGTATGATTGGGCCATGTCTGGCTATAGCCAAAGCATCAAAGGGGGGAATGAGGCACCCATGTTCTCCTGAGTGCTCTCCTGACTGCGCCCTGCCCTGCTATCATATATGCTCAGCTGTGCCTGCCCTGCTTTAACGGCTAAATGGGCCCGGAACTTTTCCCACCTAAAAGGAAGTTATAACCATATAAGGTTACCCTTTACCCCAATGGAAAAAACTAGAAGTATAACAGTATAAAAGAGGCAGCCCCTCTGTGTTCAGAGCTCAGCCTTTGTGACATGAGTCTGCTGAGCCGTTGTTGGCATCAATAAACTCTGCTTCCTGCTGCAAGCCTCAGTGTCCTGCCTCTCCTTGAGAGTTTGCTGTAACATGGCTGTAACATGCTATAACAACACTATGAGTTTTCTGCAAGTAGTCATCCCCATCTCATCCCCAGCATCAGACTCAAGGCCTGACACATAGTAAGTGCTAAATAAAAGCTTATTGAGTAAAAAAGGGAATTAAAAGGAAGTTAGTATGGTGTCATAGAAGACAAACTACCCTAACCCAAATTCCTTTTGATCGCACTGCAGAAAGACAAAATCTGAGGCTGGTAAGCTTTTTATACTGACTCAGCATAAAATTGCTTATGCTTTTAGAACTGTCACCAGACTGCATTCTTATTTAAGCTCACCACATATTATTAGGTCAACCACTCTATACCTGAATCCCATAAACCACAACTCATAATTGTAAGTTCATCTTTTGTAAAGACAAACTTACAGAGAAATAATTTAATGGGAACTACACATTTCTTAAAGGATAATAGAGCCAAAAATTCCCATAGCGAAACATTTCCCAATCGTCAGTTAGGCAAAAAGAGAAAATTATTTTAGAATAAATTTGCATAGTTTTTAGCTAAAAAAAAGGGAAGATTAGAATGAATTACTTGAAAAGACAGACAGAAAACTTTTGCCAATTATATTGAGATAAAAATGAGTAGTATAGTTAATATCACAAGCATTCAATGTATATTTAAGTGTTAGTATGAATATCTTAAGTCTTTGGCTCAATTAACTTTTTTAAACTGTAAGATTCCAATACAGTAGTTTTCATTTGTAATAACTGCATTTGATATGGTAATTTTTAAAGAGCAGTTTTCAATGCATAATGAGTACTTGTGTTTCAGTTGATAGCAAATTAAATAAAATAGTTATAGGGCAGTATTATATGCAAAGTTTTGTAGAGAAATAGAGATCAATAAAGAAATCATGATCCCCATCTTCGTTGAGTGTACATTCTAGGAGGATATATACAACCATAATAAGAGGTAGAAATGGGTACAAATAAAGTATCCTTGAAGTTCAAGAAGAAAGAGATCACCTACACAATGGAGGTATGGTGATGGGGGTGACAGTGCAGCAAGGGTCCAGTGGCAAAGGATGCTTTAAGCTGGACCTTGATAGCTGGACATGGACAAAGGGAGATATCATGAAAAACATTCCAAGAAAGAGATAACTGCACAGCAAAGGGATTGAAGAGAGATGGGGTGAGATCCAGGGAGACCAGTTAGGAAACAAAAACAGTCTAGGTGAGATGTAATGAGAGAAATAATAATGAGAAGGGAAAAGAGAAGATGAATTTGAGGGAGGTAGAGATCGACTCTGCTGGATGAGGCAACCAATTAGGTAGAAAGTATGTGTGGCTGACTGAGAGAATGGGGGTGTTAGGATGATTGCCTCCATTTTAGATTATCGGTTTAGAGTTGCCAATGTGTTACTACTCATTTGGAAATGTCCAGCAGGTAACTGAAAATTTAGGATTAGAGTTCACTAAGGAGGTTAGGATTGAAGATAAATATTTGGAAGTCATGCCAATAGATGTGATCATTGAAACCATCTGAGTAAAAGAGATTTCAGAGGGATGAAGTAGTGGTCTTCAAACCTGAGCAGGCATCAGAATCCCCTAGAGGGCTTGTGAAACCACAAATTGCTAGGCTTCAACCCCCCCCCCCCCCCCCCC